GAGAGACAGGAGAGAGAGAGAGAGAGAAACAGTAGAGAGGGAGACAGGAGAGAGAGAGAGACAGAGAGAGAAAGAAAGAGAGAGAGAGAAAGAGAGAGAGAGAGAGAGAGAGAGAGAGAGAGAGAGAGAGAGAGAGAGAGAGAGAGAGAACATGACGTCTAGACAATTACTACTCAGCACCAACTTTCAGACTTTCAGAGCAGGCTATTTATGTATGCCTATACTGGGTGGCCTTACAGGAATATTATCCAGTGACAAGGTTGATCAATCTGCCAAAATAAACGCTGTCCTATGTAAAATCATATACAATCTCATTACTTATATATAAATTTCAGATCCATTTTAAAGCTTAGAAAGGTCAGGTTCGACCTACAGAAAAATGAATGAAATCAACCATGGCACCATTTAGCACACTTAGCACCATTTGGATCGGAGGCAACTTATTACACTGACCAGAATATGCATAGTCATATAATGCCACTAATTCATCTGTACATCCGTTTGCACACATACACAGGCATTTATCGATAGACATCTATTTCTTGTGCACATAATCATCAGAATGATACATGCGAAATATCTAAGTCATATAATGTTAATAATTCAGGTTATAACAGGTACTTATTAATAGACATCTATTTCTTGTGCCCATAGTCATTAGAACGAACGGACACCACTGGACCGAGTACAAAATAATGCCCGATGCCTCACTAGTCACCAGCGTTAACTTTACCTTCGAGTGCAAGGCTGTGAAGGACTGCAAGGTGCTCTTTGCGCGTAGGAATGACCACACTTTGAAGTACCTTGTATGTAAGTAAGCTCCTATTTTTATTGTACTTGTCCATGAAGATACACACACTCACATACGCGGACACATACGCATACAGACACACACGCAAGCGCTTTAGTTACTGGTAGACATTTGCTATTATTTTCTTTTTTGTCCAATCCTGATCTAATTACATTCATTATCCTGCTCCTCTTCATTATCATTATTATCAGGCTCTCTGGCTCTCTCCTCTGTTAAAGTAAATAAACAATGAACTACGAAATATAATAATAAATGAATAAAAGAAGAAAAATACTGTAGGGGGAAACTATCTGTCTAACAGTTTTAAAAATCATGTAAATGAAACAAGATTTGGACTTAACCCTTTCACATCAACTGAATATGTTGCCTCTTGAATTAAACACATTTTCACGAGTTTTATATAAATGAAGCAAACTTCAAAACACAGCAGCAGAGGCACTGACAGTAACTTATTCGGATGAAATATTGTGTTATTAAAGTCAGCTGCAGTTTCTGCCGAAGCCCTTTTGACATATTACATACTACGAAAGGCTTTGTAATTCCATCCCGTGTGGCTTCAGGGCGACTTTGAAGCAGGTCAGGCTCGCTCATACAATCTTAGGGTAGGGCCGGGTGGTAATGGGAGGGGGGGGGGGGGGCTCCTAATACTGTACTCCCCCCGCAAAGGAATTTGTAAATGGTGCTCGTGATCATTTTTCTCCTCCTGCTCATTATCGTTATCATATTTTCTTCCAATTCCTCCTCCTCGTTATTATTATATACTCTTCCTCCTCTTCATTATCAAATCTTCAAATAACTTCATTAAAGATCATTTATAACGTGAATACGCATTCACACTGAATCAAACATTTTTGTCTATTTTTGTCATTCTTCGGGCGTCTCTCTCAGTGTCGTCTCTCTCAGTGTCGTCTCTCTCAGTGTCGTCTCTCTCAGTATCGTCTCTCTCAGTGTCGTCTCTCTCAGTGTCGTCTCTCTCAGTGTCGTCTCTCTCAGTGTCGTCTCTCTCAGTGTCGTCTCTCTCAGTGTCGTCTCTCTCAGTGTCGTCACTCTCAGTATCGTCTCTCTCAGTGTCGTCTCTCTCAGTGTCGTCTCTCTCAGTGTCGTCTCTCTCAGTGTCGTCTCTCTCAGTGTCGTCTCTCTCAGTATCGTCTCTCTCAGAGTCGTCTCTCTTAGTGTCGTCTCTCTTAGTGTCGTCTCTCTCAGTGTCGTCTCTCTCAGTGTCGTCTCTCTCAGTGTCGTTGAGGCTAATCTACATCGCCAGGGATCTGTATAACCATACCTGTAAAAGGTTACAGTTAATATCAGTGTCGTAGCTAGGTCATATGAAGGCTTCCTCCTCCTGTCCCTTGCTCTGCCTCTGCTAATTAACGCTGCAATAACTCCTATATTCTGTATATCTAATTCACGTCTTTTCTCGCGTCGATGCTTCGGAATGTATATTTAAACAGTTTCTATTTATTTCGTCTCTGTAGGATTGGGAGGGGGTACACTAAAGCCCATAGCGTAGAGAATAAAATGTAGTCTTACGAAAAAGTCAACACTATACCACGCATGACGTATACAATATGATGATACGGTCTAATTAGAAAAATCTAATCCGTATATGAATCTGTAGATAACAGAAAACGGAATCCATTGACTATTACCGAGACTTTTGCTCTTTAAGGGGTAACTAGAGAAAACATAGAAAACGTATTCCTCGTTTCAAGCCGAACAGTTATCATTATTATCATTACCATTATCATGAAAAAGAAGAAGAGATACTAGCAGTGGTATTTATTTAGAAGACATTCATGTGGCCGATAATGATAGTGATGATGATGATGATAATAATAATAATGATGATAATGATAATAATAATAATAATAATAATAATAATAATAATGATGATAATAATAATAATAATAATAATAATAATAATAATAGTAATAACATTAATATCCAAAGTTATGATAATAACAAAAATAACCACAAAAACAAAAACAATATCAACACTAAAAATAATTATGATAGTGATAGTAACAATTAAAATGATGGTGATAATAATGATAATGATAGTGATAATGTTAATAATAGTAATAACGATAACAATAACAATGATAAGAATAATAGTACTAACAATAATAAGTAAAACAATAATGATTATAACAAAGATAATAACAATAATGATAATAAAAGTGATAGTGACATGATAGTTACATATATACATATATGCATACATGTATATATATATATATATATATATATATATATATATATATACATATATATACATATATATGTGCGTGTGTGTGTGCATGTGTGTGTGTATGTATTTATATATATAAATAATATATATATCATACACACACACACACACACACACACACACACACACACACACACACACACACACACACACACACACACACACACATACACACACACATATGTATATACATAATAACAATGATAATCCCAATAATAATGATAATGACGAAAATCATTATAATAATAGCAACACCAATGATGATGGTAATAATATTAAATGATAATACTGATAATGATAATAATAATATTAATAATAATAATTATGATGATAATAATTAAGATGATAATGATAATGAAAATTATGTGTACTAAATGATATAAAAATGATATTACCACCACTACTACTACTACTAATGATAAGGATAATACTAATGACAATAATAATAATGATAATTATAATCATGATGACAATCATTAATAACGGTGGCAATAAAGCAGTAGTTATTGCAATACGTCACACACACACACACACACACACACACACACACACACGCATGAACACACATACACACGCATGAACACACACACACACACACACGCATGAACAAACACACACACACACACACGCATGAACACACACACACACGTATATATATATATATATATATATATATATATATATATATATATTTATTTATTTATATATGCTTATAACCATCCTCATCACCACCACCATTTATTCCCCTTAGACCTTGGAGCTTATACCAACACTCGCTCAATAATTGACGACAATGTACGCTATGTGGTTGATGTACTAACTCCGGATATTGTGAGTGGCGTCGAATTCCGAAAATTCTGGATACACCTCGACGGCAACACCATCAAGTAAGTGATATATATATATATATATATATATATATATATATATATATATATATATATATATGTATATGTATATAAAAATATATATATAATTATCATATATATGTGTGTGTGTGCGTGCGTGTGTGTGTGTGTATGTATATATATGTATACACACAAATACGCACACATAGACAGACACATATCTATGTATATCTATATCTATCTATCTATCTATCTATATATATATATATATATACACACACACACATATATGCATAAATGTAGGTATGTAATTATTGACTGATTTACTAATCATTTGTTTATTCATTAATATGCTTATCTCTTCACAATATGTATCTATTTATTTATTCATATATTTGTCTATTTATTCATATACTGGTTTGTATGTTTATTAGTGTGCTTCTATATTTATGTTTAGTGAAGCGAAGTCGAAGCAACAGGTCGGAGATGATAATCTTTTGATGATAATCATAAATAGGTTGATGATGATGGTTATTAGAAATACATCCAGGTTAATTAAGACTAATTTGTTTCGATTTGATATAAAGGATGAAGAGGTCTGATTGTTCGTAATCATGATTAACAGTGCAGTGTTGATATTACTAATATTAATAGTTATTATGTGATACATGCACAAAAATACATATACATATATGTGTATGCACACACACATACACAGAAGTATGCAAACACACACACACACACACACACACACACACACACACGTATACACACGTACACACACAAACCCTTCTCCCATTCACACACCCACCTACCAACACACAAACACGTACACACAACACACACATTAAAAGTCCTCACGCACATCCCTCCTACAGCGTCGGAGCTGGGAACGACAACTCTCCTGCGATCATGTCGTACACGGACCCCAGCACGACCACCCGCTCCTTCAGTCACGTCAGCATCTCCACCTGCTGCGACGACTACGGCTACTGGAAGATCCACTCGCACCCTCAGTTCCACGAATACCCCAACGGCGCCTACACAGTTCCGTGAAGTGGATTTTCGTTTGGCTCTATCCACGCGAAGAGGAAAGGAAAGAGGAAAGAAAAGTGGAAAGGAAATAGAGTCAAAAGGCCATTTATATTATTATTTACGATCCTATCTGTTATGGTATTACTTTGCAGATTATCGTGTGTTTATTCTAAACGTTTGAATGTATATGCCATTATTCTCAAGGATTCTCCCCTTTAAAGGTTTCTGAGGATTCTGGTAACTTATATAGAGAGAGCAAAATCAAAACAAATCAGAGGAAATCATTAAATAGCTGTTGTATTATTAAAGTAGACGATTATATTGCGTCTAGATCTCGGGAAGGAAACAGCTGGCAACTCCCTCCAAACTCTGGAAGACTCCGATTCGCTCTTTTATTAATCTATATAAACTAACACTAACACTATATTCTATTCCCTTTATTTATATTTATCTTTTTATTAATATTCACCTGCAACACTACTTTATTATCCCCCCCCCAAAAAAAAAAAAAAGGAAATCGGATATCTCCAGAATCTGGGGTGAGTTTCCACTTTGTTCTTTCTTCATATTGGACTGCTTATATATATACATATATATATTTTTTTATGTCCCTTCTTTTCTTTGGTATACAGTTTGTATATATTTTTGCTGCTTATTCTTTTGTTAAGCTTGTGCAATGTCTTTATATTGTCTTTGCGAGTATTATACACTGTCTCTATTATCTTATTACGCGTTGTTTTAATCAAATTTCTTTATTCTCCTATGCTGTTTATTGTTAGATCGATTTGATGATACTATATTCGCTTTAGATAAACAAGATAAACATACATACCTTGATTAGCCATAATGTAATATGTTATTGAAGTATGTAGACGGTTGTGATACGTTTAATTATGTATTAGATTTAAGTCTGTCTTTCTCTTTTTTATTTTTAATGTCAGAGAATAAATGATATTGATACATTCTACGAAAACTGTTAAAATAAAATGCTAAGAAGTGGATAAGAACAATGAAACGGCAGCACTCAGAGAATAAATAATATTGATACATTCTACGAAAACTGTTAAAATAAAATGCTAAGAAGTGGATAAGAACAATAGAAAACTGAGCAGCAACTGAGTACATATAGGACATTGTTATTGTTGCATCCGTGTGTTGTTACAAGTTATGTTGTCTGTGATATTGGATAGTTTGTAGTGAATACCTACACTTACTTTTCATAGAGTGCATATTCGTCTTCATAAACCTAAAATGTAAATGTCATTTTCCTCAAGCATCCCAAGCCTTTAAAGTTATCTGAGAATCTTGGAACCTGTTGTGGGTTTATTCGACACACACTTGGAACGATATGGGGGGAAATTTAGGATAACTTGCATGAGGGGTAAGAGCAGTGGGGGAGAGGGGAGGGAGGGGGAGGGGGAAGGGGTGGAGGGTGGTCAACTGAGCCACGGGAGAAGAAGCGATTGTTGACTTAGTTGGATCACGTGAATTGTTGAAGTTTACAATTGCGTTTTTACTTACTCACAAAAAAGAAAGAAAACAAATGGTACCTCTCTCTCTCTCTTTCTTTATCTGTCTCTCTCTTTCTTTATTTCTTTTTCTCTCTTACCCTCTCTCTCTCTCTTTATTTCTCTGTCTCTCTCTTTCTTTTTTCTTTCTCTCTCTTACCCTCTAGCTCTCTCTCTCTCTTTCTCTGTCTCTGCCTCTGTCTGTCTGTCTGTCTGTCATTCTCCCTTACTGTTTCTATGTCTCTTATTCTCTCTCTCTCTCCCCCTCTCTCTTATCATATCAAGAAGTTGAGAACTAAAACATTTTCGCTCAGTTATCAGAGACTTGAAGAATAAAGGCATATATCGAGCAGCAGGTTCTACCACGCTATTTAGGAAGACCAACCTTGGCTACACAACAAAAAATAACTGGATTCCCATGCTAGAGTCTCAGTGGCACAGTTATTATCACATAATAGCCACTGTATTATGATCTCCGCCTGTTGCTAGTTTCATTGTTAGCAGCATGTTAGTAGCATTAGTAGCATGCTAGTAGCATCAGGATCTTGTGAAATGAAGTGAGAAGAGTTCATATAATAGTGATAACAGAAAAGGGTGAATCAGGACACTTTGATTATCAAAACTATTTCCAGACCCCCCCCCCCCCCTCCAACATCACCAAACAGACCCTCGCACAAACACGAGCCTCCACGTTGCCACATCCTTATCAATAAACAAGTAAACCGGACCGTGCGTTTCGCTAACCATCATCTACGTCGGGGATTCTCATAACTAAGGAGAAGGCCCTGACTGAAAGACAGAGAAAGAGAGAGAGAGAGAGAGAGAGAGAGAGAGAGAGAGAGAGAGAGAGAGAGAGAGAGAGAGAGAGAGAGAGAGAGAGAGAGATGACAGAAAAAGAGAGAGAATGAGAGCTAGGAACAGAACCAGAAGATAAACACAAGAAGAGAAAGGGAAAGAATATACATGTTTATGAGAGTAACGTTTATCTTTTTCACACACCTCGATATCAGTGACACTTAATATTTATATTTACATGATTTGTATTTCCGAAACTTATATATATATATATATATATATATATATATATATATATATATATATATATATATATATATATATATTTATTTATTTATTTTTTTTCTAACTGGCACATTCCGCCTTCCACACACTTTCTTATATTATCACGAAAGAGACTTGGGGAATCCAGAATCCATTTTTTTTATTGGACTGCTTGTAAGCTCCTGAGGAAAACATGCAATTTGACTAATTTCAGATGTTTGAGGTCTTCTTAAATAAATGTAAAAATGCATTTGATGGTTATATATAGTTATAGTTATAATATTGGTGCAAGTGCACATACCGCTGTCTGCCCTTTCGATAAGCCTATTCTGTGTATATAATTATCAGACGTCCCCCAGCTCTGTGGCAACATCACAGGAGCTAGAAGTGATAGAAATCTTTTCAAATTTCTCTCAAAACGAGCAGATCTGACATTAGCATCCAAACTGAATTTATACCAAAAGAGAGAAATGTAAAGTCGCTAATGAATTATCTTCAGAATAAATACACCGAATGTATATATAACTCCAAAGAAACAAGGAAAACATTAAAAAAAAAATGGCGACACCAAACCAAAAAAACGCCACACAGATATTTCCTAAGTAGTATAGGACATCTATTAGAGCAACTACTTGGCAAATATCGGTAGCCTCACTCAGGAACAAACAGCTAACTTCATAATAAAACACTTTTACGCGAAACGAATGCCGTTGGAACTTTTCGATCCATCAAGGAAAGTCTACCCATGATTGGATTCCGTGTAACTGTCATCATTAACACACCTATACTCACCTGTGCCTATCCTTCACTTTGGACACAGTGAATACAAATGTCTGTTTTTAAACCAAGTGATGCAGATCAAATGACTAGTCATCGTACTGTCACCATATTTCCTGGTAATATCTAAAGTGCTAGAGAAAATAGTTGTAAACCATTTAACATTTCTAGAATTCGATAGCACTATATCTAAAACGTACCACGGGCTTAGAATACAGATATCCACCGGAACAGCATTGTTGAAAATCACAAATGAAATGTATAGACGGACGAAAAATGGATAAACCTACTGATATTCTGTGAGTTATCTAAAGCCTAGCAAAAGTCTTGCAAAAGTATCATAAAAGAAACCAGACTCTTTCGGTGTTCCACAAGGCCCTATACTAGGCCCGATCTTGTTAATATAGTCATTATCGATCAATTAAATATTCCATACATTCAACAGATTCTGACAGACATTTCGACAATAATGACATCAAATTAAATCCTCGTAAAACACAAGGCAGCCAACAAAGAAAGTATCGTCAAAATTCCCATCGACACAATCAAGGAACTTGAAAGCTGTCATGTCAAATTAGGGATCTCTGTTAAAAATATAGGAGAACGCATAACCACATACCCCAATATACATAATCTAGACTGGTTAAAAGTTTTAAAAAATCATATGTCACTTGTATACTCATTCATAAATTCATACAAGGGATTATTCTCATTGTTTAATGCTCTTACAAACAAAAGGTAACAAAACTTGTTAACTCTCTGCACGTCAAAAGATCGTAAACGGAAACGGGCTCATAATAGATGTAAAACTCAAAATATTAGTAACATCTCCAACCTGAATACCTTCAAAACTAGATTAAAGGAGCATCTTCTAAATTGTCAATGGTATCAGGCATTATACCTTATACATTATACCTAAATTTATCTAATGTGAATATATTGTTTTATAACTCTCCTACTCATGTATTTGACATCGTTTCTGTTTATCCCATAATATCTGTGACCATCTATGTAAAAAAGAATAACCATTGTAACTAATGGAATACAGTGTTTTGAGTATGATTATGAACATGAATGCAAATTCAGATTACAAATTGTCATAAGCTGTGTGGTTGATTTAAAAAAGAACGTTAATGCTATTAATTTCGTGGTTGGGGCCAAAAAAACTGCACTGAACACTGATGATAGGAACAATTATACACAGTATAGTCTTTTTAAGGACTGAAAGCCACGTTGTAGTAACAGCAAAGGTGGTAGACTGGCAACTGTCATAAAAGTGGACCAATTTTCACAAAAGGTTTATCTCTCCTACGAAGATAAAACAATGAACCATCATATCGGACGTGACTGAGTACAAACCTATTTTTTCCTCTTTTTTTCTAAAATCCAGATTAGTGACTTTTTACTTCATGTTTTAACTCTTTCTCGTGCCGTCATCGTGATGAGAGAGAACGTCTATTTTTTTCTTCTCTCTCTCTCTTTCCTGTTTCTCCAAACTCCGTATGGGTGACCTTTTGCTTCATTCCATTTTCGTATGAGAGACTACATTCCTAAAATATATATTTTCCTCTATTTTATCAGTTCTTAATCTCCCCATCTCTCTCTCACATCTACAACACATAATTTGCATTGGGACAAACCGGTACTGAGTGTGTCTCGCATGTGCTAAAACACCTA